ACCGAGCATGCCAGCGGGTACTGTGAGAGAAGAGTTGAATTGATGGACTCTGATTGTCCATTTTAAAGTAACAGTACAGACGCGCTCGAAATCAGTTTCACCCATTTTACTCTCTTTGATTCTTTCCCAAACTTAATCCTGAAACACACTAGTCTCTGTTTGGTTTAACCAATTTCAATATTCCGAATCGTATTGTAACCCAGAATCACATGATCAGCTACGTTGTAATAAATTGGAAATAACCCTACGACTGATACCTTATATCTCGCTGCCTCACGAGTCACTACTCAATATTGACAGCATTCCTTCTTACGCAAGAGGATAAATTATTCTTAGCCGAAGTTACGAAGATACCACAATGGAGAAAACTATACATAATGCGTCTTCGACAGAACAAGGAGCCGGATGTTAGAACGACGAGTCTTCCCTCCCTTGTCGCTTGATAGGTCACCTGACAGCGGGGTACTTTGACGACTCAGCCGTAAGCTCGCTGCTGCCTCTTCTCAAAATCACAAAGCTACAATAATGACATACACGACGTTATATGACGGTTTAAACTCTGGGTTCCAAGTTGGGCAAAACCTTGGTCACATCACTAATCAGTTCCGTGAGTAGCAGTATAACTATAGATGAATGTGACTAATTGGTATGTCTACCTAAGTACAATCAGAAACATCATTGAATCAGGCGTGCCTGCGGGATCTGCGGACGACCGATCCTCACCACGACAAAAATCGTATTCAGAACACCAACGGAGGACTGCTCAAAGACTCCTACTGCTGGATTCTAGACAACAAGGAGTTTCAACAATGGCAAGACGGCCAGAGCGACTGTCTCCTCTGGATCAGAGGTGATCCGGGCAAAGGAAAAACAATGCTGCTGTGCGGTATCATCGATGAATTAACACGATTATTTGGGGACACTGCGAATATCTCGTTCTTTTTTTGTCAAGCTACCGATGTGCGAATCAACAATGCCACGGCTGTTCTCCGTGGCTTAATATATTCGCTTGTCAAAAAGCAGCCATTCCTTCTCTCCCATGTGAAAATCCTGTATGACCACGCGGGAAAAGCATTGTTCGAGGATATGAACGCATGGAACGCTCTTTCACGGATTTTCAGGGATATTCTGAAAGACCCGATTTTACAGAGCACCTTTTTGATTATTGACGCGCTGGACGAATGCATAACAGGACTACCTTCCCTTCTCGACTTGATTACTCAGATTTCGTCTGCTTACCCACAGATAAAGTGGATTGTCTCGAGCCGCAACTGGCCTGATATTGAAGAGCGTCTTGGCACTACCTACACCACTCCGATCTCTTTAGAGCTCAATGATGCGTCTGTGGCTGAAGCTGTGAGCAAATTTATTCAACACAAAGTTCACTATCTGGCGAAAGTGAAGAAGTATAACGATGAAACTCGTGATACGATCTGCCGTCACTTGTCATCCAACTCGCAAGGAACTTTCCTTTGGGTGGCCTTGGTCTGTCAAGATCTTGATAGAACATCGCGGTGGCACGCTCATAAGAAGTTGGAGGCATTTCCTCCTGGACTGAATGCCTTGTACGGTCGAATGATCGATCAGGTTCGGAACTCGGAAGATGCCGAGATCTGCAAGCGGATACTGGCTGTTATGTCCATAGTGTATCGGCCTATCGCGTTTGACGAATTGGCTTCTCTTGTTGAGCTACCTGATGAACTCTCTGATGACTCTGAAGCCCTATCAGAGATTATCGCGACTTGTGGTTCGTTTTTGGCTGTACGTGAAGATACTGTCATTTTCGTCCATCAGTCTGCAAAGGAGTTCCTACTCAGAGAGACGCAAAATGGGGTTTTCCCTGGAGATATGGAGGCTGAACACCATAAAGTTTTCTCTCGTTCTCTTCAAATCATGTTTAAGTCACTTCGGCGCGACATATTTCAACTTGAGTTTCCTGGGTGTCCGATCGAGGAAATCAAACCACCTAGTCCGAATCCATTAGCAGCTGCAAAGTATGCGTGTGTCTATTGGGTTGACCATCTTCACCATAGCGGATGCTATGAAAAAGATGATCTTGGTGTTGATGAGAGAGGGTGTGTGGATGATTTCCTACGAGAAAAGTTCCTTCACTGGATTGAAGCCCTGAGCATTCTAGGAAGTATATCACAAGGTATAGCAGCTATGCTAAAGCTTGATGCCTTTTTTCGAGTGAGTCTTTGGTTTTAAGAATATCTCCACTTCTGATATAATGACACTGCAATAGACAAAAGGAAAGCCAGCTGCCCTTTTACATCGAGTTCAGGACGCCTCCCGATTCATTCAATACCACAGACAAGCAGTTGAAAGTAGCCCCCTTCAGGTATACAGTTCCCCCCTGGTATTTAGCCCTACGTTGAGCATCACGAGAATATGTTATCAAGGGGAAAGACCATATTGGGTATTGAATGAGCCATTGGTGGACAAGGATTGGAGTTCATGTCTTCAAACCCTTGAGGGGCATAGCCGTTCGGTCGTCTCGGTCGTCTGGTCGCAAAACGGGAGCCGACTCGCATCAGCGTCATATGATCAGTCAATTAGGATCTGGGATCCGGCCACCGGCCAGTGCGTTTTAACCCTCGAGGGGCATAGCGATTCGGTGAACATGATTACCTGGTCGCAAGATGGAAGCCGGCTCGCATCAGCGTCAGATGATAACACCGTCAAAATCTGGAATCCGGCCACCGGCCAGTGCGCGTCAACCCTCGAGGGGCATAGCTATTGGGTCGTTTCGATTGCCTGGTCACAAGACGGAAGCCAACTCGCATCAGCGTCATATGATCAGACTATTAAGATCTGGGATCCGGCTACTGGCCAGTGCGTGTCATCGCTCGAGGGGCATAGCGATTCGATCATCTCGGTTGTCTGGTCGCAAGATGGGAGCCGACTGGCATCAGGTTCTTCTGATCAGACTATTAGGGTCTGGGATCCGGCTACTGGTCAGTGCGTTTTAACCCTCGAGGGGCATAGCGATTCAGTCAACATGATTGCCTGGTCGCAAGATGGAAGCCGACTCGTATCATCGTCAGATGATAACACTGTTAAAATCTGGAATCCGGCCACCGGCCAGTGCGCGCTAACCCTCGAGGGGCATAGCGACTCAGTCATTTCGATTGCCTGGTCGCAAGATCAAAGTCGACTCGCATCAGCATCATGTGATCAGACTATTAAAATCTGGGATCCGGCCACCGGCCAGTGCGTTTTAACCCTCGAGGGGCATAGCAATTCGGTCAACTTAATTGCGTGGTCGCAAGATAGAAGCCGACTCATATCAGCGTCAGATGATAACACTGTTAGAGTATGGGATCCCGCCACCGGTCAGTGCGCGTCAACTCTCGAGGGGCATAGCGATTCGGTCGTCTCGGTTGCCTGGTCGCAAGATGGAAGTCGACTCGCATCAGCGTCTCGGGATAGGACTGTCAGGATCTGGGATCCGGCCACCGGCCAGTGCGCGTCAACCCTCGATAGGCATAGCGATTCGATCAACTCAACTGCTTGGTCGCAAGATCGAAGCCGACTGGCATCAGGGTCCTCTGATCAGACCATTAGGGTCTGGGATCCGGCCACTGGCCAGTGCGTGTCAACGCTCGAGGGGCATAGCGATTCGGTCGTCTCGGTCGTCTGGTCGCAAGATGGAAGCCAACTCGCATCAGCGTCAGATGATAACACTGTTAGAATCTGGGATCCGGTCACCGGCCAGTGCGAGTCAACCCTCGAGGGGCATAGCGATTCGGTCGTCTCGGTTGCCTGGTCGCAAGATGGAAGCCAACTCGCTTCAGGGTCCTCTGACAAGACCATTAGGATCTGGGATTCAGCCACCGGCCAGTGCGCGTCAGCCCTCGAAGGGCATAGGAATTCGGTCCGCTCGATTACCTGGTCGCAAGATGGCAGCCAACTCGCTTCAGGTTCCTCTGACAAGACCGTTAGGATCTGGGATCCGGCCACCGGTCAGTGCGTTTTAACCCTCGAGGGGCATAGCGAGTCTGTCAACATGATTGCCTGGTCGCGAGATGGAAGCCGACTCGCATCAGCATCACGTGATCGGACGGTTAGGATCTGGGATCCGACCACCGGCCAGTGCGCGTCAACCCTCCATATCAGCTCACCCTACTTCCTTCGATTTGATCAAGTCAACTTCAATTATCTACATACGTCGCTTGCTACATTCGATCTGGCATGTACTGGTACCGTCACGTCTATTCCTCAGTCTTCAACCTTTCCAGAACAATACGGGTATGGCCTGAATGATGACCGTTGCTGGATAACCTATAAGGGAGTAAACCTCCTCTGGTTGCCCGTCGAATATCGACCAAAAGATACCGATCTTTTTGCTATGTCTGCAACAAGTCTGGCGATTGGCTGTTCTTCAGGTCGTGTCCTATTTCTCGCGTTCACAAAACAGAGCCCAATTACCACCCATTGATCGGTTTTATACTGCGTCAGATCCCCGCACTTTCCTACATATATTTTGTGGCGAATAACCCATTCTATTCTTTCCAGAATATTCAGTAACAGGTAGAAGTAGGGAAGTTGTAGGTCTCAAATCAGGAAACGTGTGATGCAATGATGAGTTCTACTGTAAAGCCGGAGATCAATATATTGAAATGCCTGGGCCTTCTAGTTAGTAACCACTTAGGATAGAATAGGCGCACGATCTAGCATTCATGAACGAGTATACTGATTCCTCTAGCCGGCAGCAACTGAGGGCCCGCAGTTTTCAAATAGGTCTTCCAGAAACACCCAGGCTCCTAGGAACTATGAGTCTGCGGGGTCACGTGCATTTCCCAATATCCCAGCATCCCCTCGACCTGACCAAATTTTTTTCGTCCGCCCACTGAGCAAAGGGGTGAGCAAGTATTAACATGGCCGATATTTTGTAGGACAGGAAATTCGTTTCAGTAGAATTTCTTTATCTACCGATATTTGTACAGTTAGGACGCATGTCTACACCGGTCCGCATGTTACTTGCAGGCTGTCAACGTGGCTGATTGAAGGGTGAAAAAAGTGGCCGGACGACCGGCAACATGCTCTGTCAACCAATTGGTTCGATATTTTTGCAAGTAACTGGTTTTAGATAGCGCATAGCCCATGAAACCACGATACAATACCTAATTTCATACCGTTACCTATTGACATACTGAGATACTGCCAACCATGTGGGTAACAGGTAGGGTAAACATAAAAGGTATGTCCCTCATAAAACAGAGTTTGACGAAAAATTCAAGAGAGTAAAGGGATGAGACTGATTTCGAGCGTGTCTGTAGAGTGGATAAAGCGATTTTGATCATATATTTCACCCCGCTAGTACTGATTCAACGTATCTCTTCGCTCAGTAGAGAAGAAGTGTAAACGGTTTTCATTGAAAGGGGAAAGGAGGTGAAAGATTTAGTGACCAGACAACCCACCAAATCCCCTGTCAGCTAGTATGTTTGGCTTTTTTGCAAGTGGATGGTTTTAGACAGGCTCTGACCCTTACAACCATGACACGATAGCTATTTTGCCATTATTACCGTACTGAGTATACTGCCGAGAGTGTGGGTCAGGGGTATGCTAACCATAAAGGGTATGGCGTCATGCAAGATAAAGTTTGAGAAACAATTGAAGAGAGTAAAGACGTGAAACTGATTTCGAGCGCGTCTGTACCAAGAATAGATCGACTGTACTCTTTCAAGAGAGCAACATCCAGCAGAAACAGAGCAGACTGCCCGCGGGGTAAACGACTTAGCGGTACCTTGCGTTGCGAACCCGGGTCGATTGAGCGAAAATGACGGGACGGGCCGAGACACGAACCCCTGAACCGCCCGACCGCGATGAACGCGAAAATTCACCACCGCGATTACTGAGACCGAGACGCTCGACTAGACCGCCTAGAAATTATGCCCAGCAGCAAGAATTCGATAACAAACAAGGCAATGCGCATTCTCAGTGGAAGAGGAAGTCCCAGGGCAAGCCCGCAGCCCAACGTGAAACCGTCGGCTCGGAATCATCAACAGAGAGCGAGGACCCGAACGCGTCGGAACTGTTGAGGGAACTGGCCAAACTCAGAAAGGAGATCAAGCAGCGAGATGAACTACACCAGGAAGAGCTTCAAAAAGCCAAAGAAGAATTTAGCGCCCTCAAGGAAGAGTTTAGTGTCGCCCTTGCAGAAGTTCGACACGAGCTGCAGACCCTGGCAGATAGACCCGCGACACCGCAATCCCACCTCGAGCCGTACTCTCAGAATAACCACGATGAGATCCTGCGCGAGATCCAGTCCTTACGCGAGGAAGTCAGCGCCCCCGATCCTATCAGCTCCCCTTCCTATGCAGATGTCGCGCGCACTCCTCCGACCAGTCACCCAAGCAACATACGGACCCTCTCAACGCTGAACACAACGCCATCTACCTTCACCGACACTTTATACTGCACGGTAGATACCTCGAAGATGACCGAAAGTGAAGACGAGAAGAAATCAGCAGGCTCAATTAGGGCCACAATCGAGAAAGAAATCCGAACGATGGGTGATCACACCCACTGGCGCTGTCGCGCAGTTACTGTCAGTCCAAGAGACCCCAACCGGATCAGGATCGCATGTCGTGATGAAGCCGAGCACCAGCTGGTCAAGAAAGTGGCGGAAGAAAAGATCGGAACGGGAGCCCGGGTGCTCCGGGACGAGCTCTACCCGATCAAGGTCGACAGCATCAAGAGGGCTGCGGTACTGGATGAACACCATGATGTTCTGCCGGGAGCAGCGGCCGCCCTTGGTGAGGAGAATGAAACTACTGTCGCCAAGATGACATGGCTTAGCAGCAAGGAGGTCGCGAAGCCATATGGATCAATGGTTGTGTACCTCACCAAAGGCACTGACGCGCGAAGGCTCCTGGCTGACGGATACTTCCACGCTGGAGGGGAATCTGGGACAACCAGCGTCTTTGAATATCGACCACGACCTGTGCAATGCTACAACTGCCAAGAGATTGGCCACAAGGCATTCCAATGCAAGAAGAACCAGAAGTGCGCAAAATGCGCCACGGAGGGCCATCACTACAGTCGCTGCGACCAAGCGGTCCCAAAGTGCGTCCCATGCGGGGGGCCACATGAATCGTTTAGCAAGAACTGTCGGAAGCTCTACCCATCACGTCATGAATAAACCACTTCGAATGATCCAATTGAATGTGAGGAAGCAGGGTGCAGTGCTTGAAAGCTTGATG